GAACTTTGATGGATGGGGGGCTCAAAATCGAACTTTCAAAAATTTCAGATAAACCATGTCATTGAGCTCGAGGGGTTGACTTCAACCATATAGCATACTATATAAAAAATTGTAAATCAACCTAGTTACAGAGAAAAAAACGATTCGTGTTTTTTTGAACATTTAGGGTGGGTATTGTACGTCCCATAGCTGGATGCGGTACATCTGTTTTCTGCTCATATAAGATAAAGGTCATTCAGTTGATTGAAAAATCCAAAATAATTTCACTCGAAGGCTCCTTGTTAGGTCTGGTGACGCTACTTACGCGCAGGTGCCTCGACGAAACTCAAGGGATAAAAGTTTACAATTGCATTGTTTATGCTCTCGTAAGAAGGTTTATGATTGTTTTCAGGTATTGCTAGGATCGATGCATCCAAATATCATGCAAAGTTAGAATCTAGAACCACAGATGGACTTGTGAAAATTTCATATGCAACGCCGAAAACTAACATTAGACGTTACAGCTTTACTTGCCGTGCCGGTACTACTTTTATATCTCTCATATCAAATGTGGCATTCACCACTCCCATGTTTGCACTTTTCAAGCTCTTATCTAAAAAAAAAGCTCTCGTCTTATAACTATGTTACGTTATGTTGTTAGTTATAGCAATTGTCTCCCACGTTTGCCTTATGCAACGTCTTCAATAAATAAATAAATAAATAAATAAATTTTGAGCGTCTGAGAGGTCACCAGAATAGTCGTGACGCATGACGGCAGGAATTTCTGGCATTTTTGGTTTACCCTATCCAACTGTCTGTACTGACACACATTGACAACTTAACCAAAAATCCTTTCCATGCCGCTTTCGTCGTTGAATTCTCGCCCATCTCCTATTTTTGCCACTTTTAGAAACCTAATACCTTGGAAATACGCCAATTTTTAACTTTTCTTCACCGCCTTCGCACTATTTTTAACTGTCGATTCGATTATGCCTCTTGAGCTAGGTTGCCCTCGACACTCGACATGGGTCAATGTTCGGGACGATCAGCTCAGACTTACGACATATGTGCTCCACTGCAAATGGTGCCTAAAAAGCCGTTTAAACACGGCCACCTTTGCACGTGGTACACGGTGGAGACAACATTCGAGCTTTATAGCCCTATCTAGGTTATTTTTCAATCCATCAAGGACCCAGACCTATCCTTGTATACCACAGATGGCCCCAGTGGGACATTACAGTAATATTCTCTACCCTGAACCGCGTGTCTAAGGTCCCACTGATAAGCAGTCCACAGTCGACTCCCTTGACCTGAGTATGGCTGTTATCTTCTACTATCTCTCAAAAACTATGAAGCGGATAAGATCACCCAAGATGACTAGTCGAAGCTCTTCCCGTTTACTGCCAACTGGTCTTCTTTTCGCTCTGTACTTGCAATCGCTCGTACGCACTTTTTAAACAAATAAATAAAAAGACAAATAGCTAGATAGCTAAGCAAATAAGTAAAACTATTTTGTAAACAAAGTTTCGAGAAAAGCTCACGTTTCCTATGTGATTACAAAAGGATAACGTAAAGTATGAATGCCATCCCCGTTGAAAGCAAACATTGTATTGAGATAGTCCGAAGGATGAGGTTGACCGTAGTGATGAATCATGTAAAACCTATCAGAAGAAAAGCCAACAGAGGAGAGCTGGAACTTTTGTGACAAATGGAATACTAGAATCCGAAGCGATTCTAAAATTTCTATTGATATGCAGCTCTCTCAAGAGCTCATTCGAGAACTATACAACAAAGTGGAAAAAGCTGAGAGTTTTGTGTTTCGAGTCAACCTTCAGATCAAACTGAATAGATAACTGCTTCTAGACCTAACTTCTAAGATGGCAACGGTAGCGAACCATTCTTGTGGTGGGAAACTGGGAAAAACTTTGCTCTGATTCCGAATCCAGAATTACAGTAATAGGAAATAGTGCTGATGAGAGAGGGAGGCACTGGAATCAGTTCTATACCATGAAAACGAAGCCTCTGCGTGATGGCAATGGAAGCCCTCAACGGCATCTGACTACAAACTATCTAAAACAAGCGGCATCGAAAGACAACTACCCAAGGATCGCCGTCGCGTTGGGAGAGCGGGAATTCCCTGAAACAGCATCGATATCCATCAACAACTATTTACATTGTTTACTAACAAGACCCGACCAGCATTCAAAACAATTTCTGGGCTGCTCCGGCGACTTCAAAAATGATTGAGGGGCTTAGAAAGGACTAGTTCTATATGCGCCACGCAATTACCTTTCACCCAAAATTGTGCATACTTACAAAAGAGTGTTCCGCCTATGCAAGACAGCGTCAGAGTCGTTTCCACTTTGATACTACTACACACCCACTCTAACTCCATAGATTTCTATGTACTAGTCATTGACTATTTACTTATTTATATTTATTAATTTTACTTATTTATTTCGACCGTGGGCATGCCTGTTTTGGTTACTCTGACTGGATTCTCAACCGATTTAGTGATAACTGAGCATCCCTCCTCCCCATCCTATCTTCCTTTTTCCGCAAAATTCCAATTCTGCCCTGCTGCACTTTGTTGGCTCTAGGAATTTCCTGCCTACGTGTGGAACCGATGGTCATGTCCAGTTTTTCGGACTGTGAAGCATTTTCGACGTTCCTATCAGATTGTTTACACATAGGTGATAGCACTCCCTTTCCATGTGGGAGCGTGCGCGCTGAGTATGCCACCTGATCCAGGCCAACCGGAGTTCCAAGCGTTGTGTTTGTAGACGAAGCGAGATCGTGAGAACGTACCACACTATAAAAATCGTGGCTATAGGACTTTCAGACCACTTCCGCGACACTTCCTTCCGCCGCTTGAAATCCCGCCTGCTTTCCTCTCAAATCTATCTAGTACACTGCAACTCTCGGACCGTTTGGTCAAAGCCTTCTTGGGTCAACTGGGCTCAACGCCCTCCGAGGTCATCCCACAAAACATTTTAGAATTCCCTACGAATGCTCCTCTCGAATTGGAAGCGAATGTTCGCGCATCCCATTGGCATAACACTGAAGGTTCCACTTTTGATTCACCTCATTACAACATGAATATTAGTGTTTCTTCCTTCTTTGGAGCAGACACTGGCCCATCAGAAACATCATCACATTGGACCCACTATAAGTGTATCTCCCCTGCCTGGTAACCTCGAACTAATCACATCCGTACAGTCTTGGAAGTCACTTTTAACTTGCCTGGGAGCCCCAATCGTATAAGGCAGTTTTTGTTGCAAAGGCACTCGAGATACATCAAGAAACATAAAAAATGTTTGCTCCAAAAGTATGGTTCAACAGATGGAGGTGGAGAAAGGAGGGGGAGATACCTGTCCCGCTAGTTGGCGACTGCTGCTTTAGTAGTAGGTAGCGTCTTCAGCTCATGGGGTACACCTGATCGCCGATTGGAGCGATCAGATGTACTCCATGGGGTGGGGGCACTACTAGTAAGGCAGCAATCGCCAACTATCAATTCTTAGGCAATCTTATTGATCCAACTTTTCAGCTCAACTTTGGCGTCAACTTGGTTACCTTTCTTCTTCAGCTATAGTCACCGAATAATTGTTTTTACGCATTTTGCTCTGATTATTTGAATAATTTCAGATGTTTACGTACAAATTCGTGGTCCTAGCGCTTGTAGGTGCGATTGCAGCAGAAGTTGTCCCAAGATCGAAACGTCAATCACTTGGATACTATTTATGTGGTGGTACATCGAATGGTCAGTTTCCTTCGTAATGAGATTTTTCAATCAAACTGTGGTAGGATTAAAAAATTTAATTGAAAAGAGGGGGCAGGGTATTCGAATTCGAAATACGCCATAAGTGCGGCAAAGTTGTCGAGGACAGATATCACTACGACCATATAAGATGATTTCTTGAAGTGGGCGGAGGTGTAGCGGCAATCTCCGGATCGGAGCTCGGACCAACCAAATCTTCCATCCATCTGTAGCCGGTCAATCGGTACCAGACTCGTCTAACGGGGTAACTTTCCATGGGCTGGCCAGCCTAATTCATTGCAAGGGCTGCATACGCATTCAAACCGCCAATACAATTTTAATGAGAGTCGGATGCGGGATAATTCCGAATTCCGTAAAGAAGGAGTGGAATCGGTTTCCCCCACCAAAAAAATTACAGAGCAAACTCGGACTTTGATACTTTGCTCAAACCATTTCTTTGCAAAATCTGAGTCAGCTTGTGTCAATACTTTGTAGATTTTTTCATGCATTTTTTCATCCAATACACTTGACGCTGCCATCGGCCCATAAGAGCTCATAAGAGGAGCTAGAAGAAGAGGTTCTCCAATTGCGTTGGCTCTACTCGAGAAAAGGGCATGGCCTAGGTGGATTCAGCTCCTATACCCATGAACTGGGATAAAGCGTCACGTGTGACGGAAAAATGATACCAACTTAAGGAAGCCGCTTTCGTCGTGAATTTCGGCGACCAACCTATAGGCGATCCCACCTAGAGACCCTGCTCTAGTGGGTGTACAATTTTTGATACTGCAAAATCAACTTGCTCACACCCCATTGATACCTGATCTTCTGCAGTCATCCCAAACCGTAGACCGAACTATGCACACAGCCTTCATCTTAGAGATACAGCTATTCTGACAGCCATACTGCAGTGATATTTCCAGTTCCAGTTATCATTCAGTTCTAGAAGTTAGTCTTTGCCATAGGCAGCCTATTCCAGCCTCGACAAAGTCTCTTATTTCAGGATGCGGTACTTCTTACAGCGGTTGCGGTTCAAATTGTGGAGGCAGCAGCTCGATTATTTTGCCAAACACTTTCTATTCTTCACCATCAAACTGTCAAACACCTTGCAGTAACATCAACTGCAATCAGTACGCGAATGGGTCAGTTGACGTTTTCGATTTACTCTAGCCAACACTGGTCCCTCCTGAAGATAGCTGGGACCCTTCCATAGTTCAGTTCCAACGAACTTGAAAGTCGCTGCTTCCCAGGTTCGACCCCGACCAAGAGAATTGTGCAACCCTCCGACGCCTATGTGAACAGTGTTTAGGATGTGGTAAAGTTGGTGAACGTAGTACAAGCCATATGAGTACCTATATGACCGATAAGAATCCAACTATATTACATACATCAACACGAAGGGCGGTAGGGGCAAGTGGCTCGCTACCACACACTTACGGTTCGGGTATCGAATCCTATATCGATACTCGCCTACGTAAACTAAGCCTTTCATCTCACCCCGGGTACCAGACTCGTCTTAGGCATAAAAGCCCTGACTTGTACATCGGCTGGTAACCGCAAGTCATTGTATAGGCTACATACGCATTCAATACGCCACTACGATTCCGAATAGAAGTCGAATACGGAGTGAGTCTCTCAGACGGGGTTGATTAACGCCCACAGGCCTTATCCTTCAGCCTAGATACACCTTTAGCCAGCATGTTGCCAGAAACTTCTGCAGCTGGCAGTAAAAAATGAAATTATTAGGTTGTCGGAAAAGTATTTGCGCATTTTGGTTTCCATATTGTGAAATCTTTGGGGATTGCTCTAGAACCTTCACTGCGGAATATGTGTAAGTGCAGGTCAATGCGCTCTCCACACCATATCTGCCGTAGCATTTCGCAACGGTTATGGCTGCAAGAATCGCTCTCGACCCAAAGCGAGTCAAACTGCCTTTGCTTTATGAGTTCAGAAAAAAACGTTAATCCAAATTGAGCGACAGGGGGAATATGCGATGCGATAGGACCATTCATTGTCTCTAATAGCACATCAAGTAGTTGGTACAAAAAGTTCAAAAATGGCCACTTTGACTGGACCGAAAAACCACGATCTAGGAGACTAGCTGAGCTCAATGATGACTATCTCCTGAAGCTGGTTGAAGAAGATTCCAGGACTAGTACCCATCAGCTGAAACAGGAGCACATAGCCATCACGACACAACAGCTGTCCATTTGCATCGCCTTGGAAAGACATGGAGATTCGGAGATATGGATAAGTTTTGATCTGGGTGGTCACGACCTCCAAACGAAGAGGGATTCATGCCTAAACTTGATGACTTTCCGAGGCATCTTCGCGTGGCTGGAAGACTTAATCACTGGCGACGAGAAGTGTGTTCCCTACTTAAACCGCATGAGGAAGCGCCAGTGGCTTAGATGCGTAGAGCATGGAATCCCGTCCTCCAATCCAAAATTCCTACATCAGGAGGCAATGCCAAGCGTTTGAAGCCGTTCAACAGGATCGTTCACTGGGACTTTCTACCACCAAACTCCACTGTCAGCACTGAAGCCCAGTGTGCTCTGTGGACCGGATTGCCGCAGTTTTAGGAGAGAAACTCGGGAAAGTCTATTTTCTCCAAGACAGTGCTCGCCGACACTTTTCGAAGGAGACCCAGAAGAAGCTTCAATGCCTGAGATGGCAAGTTTTGGTCCACCCACCGTATTCACCAGACCTAACTCCAACAGATTGTCATCTGCTCCTGTCGCTGTCGGACCATCCGAAAAATAAGAAGTTCGATTATGTGAATCAGCTCGAGACGTACATTGACGAGTTTTCCTCCTCGAAACCTCAGGAATTCTACGCAAGCAGGAACCACAAGTTGCTTGATGAATGGCAATACCTTGTCGATAATGATGGTGCATATATTTGTTAATTGTTAGTTTTTGTGAAGGAAAAAAATAAATTCAAAAAAAAATTGCAAAAGGCGCAAATACTTTTCCGACAACCTAATATTAAATAACAGATGTGTAAATAATGAACATTCAGGTAACAAAAGCCAAGTAGTATACATCGAACACTTTCAGGCAGTACGTTGCCAGAATCATCGGCAGCGGTCAGTACAGCCCTTGTGCAAGTTCATGCTGTGGCGGTGGAGTCAGCAATTGGCCAAGTGTGATTTATTCTGGATATAACAATAACGGCTACTACAATCCGTATGCAGCCAACGTTATTGGAAACGGCGTTTACAACACAAATCCACTAACCCAGGTCAGTTCAGTGACCTGTTCCCTTCAAATAGTCTTGATGGAAACATCTTACAACAATTAAATATTTGATCTTGGGCCTATGGAGCTGACAATCGTTGCTTTACAATCTAGTTATATTTGTTTTGATAGTTTTTTGTTTTAGATAACAAAAAACTTGCACTAGATCAGGATTAGTAAACCGAAAGGATATGGCACGGTAGTTCAGTGCGCTTATGAGAGTTGCAACGCGTCCGCACGCGGCATTTTAACGATTCTGCACGCTCTTGATGAGCTGTGCTCGACGAGCTGTTAAGGCTTCCCCATGATACTGTTTTGGGAATGTCTCTCTTCCAAAATAAGCGACCACAATGACTATAAAAAGAAAGAACCTACAGTAATTGAACGGTGTTGAATGGTCCACAATACAGTAACTCTCTTTTCAGGTTGGACCCGGTCCAGTCGTTATCTCAAGTAGTGTACGACGAAGTCCAGTACCAGCGGCATTCACCGGTACCATCAGTAACGGAGGTCGAATCTAAATGATAATTTTTCTGATTCAAATAAAAAGTCTACAGTTAGTCTGTAGTTGTATCGCAACCAATAATCACTCAAAGAGATGTTCACGATAAAAAGTCTGCCGGAAACTTTTATTAACAATATTGAGGTGCTAGGAAAAAAAACGGAATTCATCGGACCTGCCTTTTTGTGGAAATCCAATCCGCTCACAATTACACAGCTTCTTAGCCTTCTCTCTTTGCTCTTTACCCTCAGCCCTGTGTCGATTACCCCGAATTGAATGAAATCACCTAATTTCTTGATGCCGTATGTGCGCCAATAGCATGTAGTTAGAAGCTTACGGAACGCAGCATTAAAGAGATAGGCTCATGTGTCCGGGTCAAGACGCGCATCTCCCCGTCTGATCCGGTGCTGCAGCGATTTCAGGTAATTCGCGACAGGACCCTTGCTCTCTATTACAGATAGAAGATGAACGTCCTTACACGAGTAGTCGAAGGAAAGGTAAGCAAGGCAATTCAGCTCGACGAGATTTCTGAGATCGTGTGTCTCGATTCACACGCAAAATTTGTACGAGGAAGTCGGCCTAATGAGTGTCACTGGCTGCTTTCAGATTTCAAGACCGACCGACTGATCGACGGCCACGTGGTTACAGCATCGGACAGGTTGCGTTCGTATGGCCAGTGTTGTCCCCACGTGGCCAGCGAGCGCCGTCGGTTGGTTGGTCTTTGAAGTCTGAAAGCAGCCACTAGTGCGATTCAAGGCCAAGTCTTTGTAAATACCCCCTGAAGATCATCCTCCTGCATATAATACCCTGCAAAGTCAAATCCACCTCGTTACAAGCTTCAACTTCAGCCAAAGTTTGTTCTGTCGACAAATCACAAAGTAAGTCCAATTTTGCATACTATTTCAGTACTCATGTGTGGTGGTAACGAACCGGCTGGTGGCTCTTGCGCAGGCAGCGGCACATGTCCATCTGGACATCTTTGCGTGGCCGGAAACGTATGCTGCCGATGTGCCGTTGGAGCCAGTGCGGGTATGACCGCAGGATGCCTCGAATATTTTTGGTTCCAAGTGAGAATTTAACCGACAATTTCAGGAACTTGCCCATCGGGTAGAGACTCCGAATGCCCAGTTGGGTACGGCTGTGCGGCCTCACTGAACTGCTGCCCTACCGAGGTAAGCTGAAGGCCCTTGAAGGTAACAACTCATGACTAGAAATGAATTTTGAAGGCAGCGAAAAACAGGGCTGTTTGTCTGATGAAATTTTGCAAAAATGTGATTCCGCCGAAACACGGAGAGATCATTTGAGACAAGCTTAGGGCCAGTGCGGGTAATGCTGTAGGAGCGCAATGGCCAGAAGCACTGCACTATCTGTATTCACTTCTCAGGCACTGGGATTGAATCCTTCCAGAGGGAACTGATCCTGAGTTTGATAGCATATTTAAAAGACTCGCTTATATTAGAAAGCAGCGGATTGACGTGTCCTGACCCCTGTTTGAAAGCCGGTTCTGTGAAAATTCGGTGAATAATAGACCAAAAATCGAACAATACATCAATGCGAGTAGATAATTCGAATAAAGAAATAATAACATGCAAATTCTGTACACTATAAACTAATAAAAAATATATTACGTACACTTGAATTTCAAACAAAGAAAATTGATGTTCTCGAACACTTTTTTGGCAGGTTCTGCTCGGTATATATTATAAAGAGTTCTTGAGTCAGATATTTTAGGTTAAACAGGGACAAGGCCTAGCAGTCTGTGTCAATGGTGGCTGTAATGATGGATTTGAATGCGGAAAGGGCAATTTGTGTTATCCAAGTGGTTAACGTCACGACTACGACTACAGTAGTACACAGCGGTGTCTCCTATTTATGTACTGATCGATAAAATCGAAGCGGACTGATTCGCTTCAATTGGAAAATCTTCTTCACATAGAGCTGAAGTCTTCCACATTATGGACGACTTGCAAACTCTATTTTTCAATTTCCACTTTAACTTAATAAATAAGTAAATAAATGAATAAATATTAGCTTCCCAGACTGTACTGGAATATTAGTTCTTTTCGAACACAAGGGAACGATTCAAGATTGCCATTGTGAGTCGAACCGTCATTTATTGTTAACTCCATTGATCTAATCTCGTTGTCTACTATGTCTCAGTCACCATAAGGCTTAAATTTGTCAAAATAATTTTATTTTTCCTGATTGGCCCGTTTAAAGTGAAGTTTGGGAAGTGTAGACGTAATATACCACGGTACACTAGGAGAGTAACAAGCTATCATAGGCTTGGAAACAGAAAATGGACAGTCGCGACTATTAGAGCTCCAGGGGCGGAGCTTGACGACTGGGAGGGGTTTCTATGAAGAGCACCTTGCGCAAATCTCGATAGGCAGCGGCACCTTGGAATTGTTCACCCGGTAAAAAACTGCGAATCACAGGCATCATTCTGACTACTCAGCAAGCCGTAGGGTATTACTTTGACGCATCTGCTTCGGGGCATCTGCTTTTAGTCATGTAATGGAAGGGTGGCCCAGAATAATGCAAGAAAGGAGAAGAAACGGCGAAATCGGCGTTTTTAGAAAATATGAGGCTGCATATGGAAAGATTAGGAGTTGGAAGAATGTGACGAAAAAAGTTACATGGAACGGGTAATTGGACGAGCTATCCAAATGTATGAGCCACTGCGGACAGCTGGCTACAGTAAGCTGCTTGCGTGCAACGTGTGCGTCCCGGTACGAATGGTACAACCTTTATAGCCTCTACAACGCTGTGATAACTCGTCCACTTGTGGATGGGCACGTCGGCTAGGTCGGTATTTGGGCTCTCACTACGCCTGCCTCAACCGTTTTTCGACCCGATTTTAGCAGAGTTCATGGGATCGTCGGGGTCAAAGTATCCAGAAAAGAGGATTTCACCGTATTTGAGGCTTACTCTGTGAGTCATGTCATTTCTTCGAGCAAGAGTGACATGTTGTTGAAAACGCCAACCAATCCTTAAGATAAATACGCCCCATGTGGTTCGTAAACAACAAGTGAGTAAGCAGAGCCAATTCGTGGCTTGGGAATTTCATTCTTCTAAAGCTTCTATGAAAACGAAAGTTATCAAAAGTTGAGTATAAAACCAATGGACAGCTTATACAACCGAAAATAGTGTGTGGTAATACGCATCTTGCTATTTTTTTTCTACTATTTCAGCTCCGGAATGCGCACTGCACTTCCATTTTCTCGCCGGGTGTGAAGACGTTCGGAATCGACTTCAACCCAATTCAAGAGATACCACTATGGCAGCCAATACTTCTTGAAACCGTCTCGTATCAGCACCTTACATATGACGCGTTCCTGAAAGGTGTGTGATATCAACGGCTCGCTCAGCAGTCGAACTAAACAACCAACTATGCCCTATTTCCAAAACTTCCGCCTGAAAATCCCTCCTAAGCCCGCAATCAGAGATTTCAGAGCAAATTTCATTAGAAATGCATCATGTAAAGCCTCTGTGGTCAAATCCTAACAGTAAGAATGGGGTAAACCAATTTTCCATGATTATTTCAGTCCCTAATGCCGCCGATTAATTATGAGCTTCAGATTAGTCGAAATTCCAAATATGTAAAAGGATTCCTCATTTTACCCATTGAGAGCTGTTCATGGAAATCGGATCCGATGGTCGAGCGCTTTGCTCAGCGAGCCTGTCGACTGACCACTCGTTGTAAGCTTTTCTACTCAACGATGCGAGATAGTAGCACTGAAGAAGGCTCAAAGTTCGTGGGTAGGGTAAATGGGACCTGCGATGAGTCATCGTAATGGGAATGTGTCGAATAAGGGAACGGATATCAATCCGGTCAGGCCAACAAGCCTACAAATCACCCAGGGATGATTACTTGCCAAGCCAAAGACCTCATCCCCCATGAAACAGCTACACCTACATGAAAACAGAATTGCAAGAGTATGCGTAGTGCAGGAGCTTTTCCAATGTGTGGTCTCGATTCCATATCACTCAAAATCCGATGCCGGGGTCAAGCCGGCCGTATGAGCCCATGCATAAATCAAGCTTCAGAGCTCCAACTCCAAACGGTACCCAGAAGCGCTGCTTATGAAAAATCAAGCAGACATGTAGACCATCTGTCTGACAGTACTAAATGCAGTACAATCAGTACGGATTGCCAATACCCTGGCTGTGATTTGACGATAGTTTTTTAAAGATTATTCCATACCTCCTATCGAATAGATTCACCGCCGAAGTACATCATATCCAGCCCAGCGCTGTTCATGTATTTGCAAATGCTCGACTTGTGTTTGCTATGTTAGATGTCAAAGTTCATTGAGTGCCTTTATGAATCAGCATCTCAAAGTTCAGAAAACTCTGCCATCTGACCGGCAATGCTCGGATTTCCAAGTGTCACGCAATTGCGGAAGTGACACGGTATTAAAGCAGCAAATTTCTTTAAAACAGCAGTGATTAGTCGCAATAACCCCAATATTTGAATGGTGATTCACCGTCACCCGATCAACTTGAGTAGGAGTTCGCATTGATGAGCGAATGTTCGAGATCGAGCAGCTCATTGGGAAATAACACCATCTTTGTGAAGTTGCCACTACAGTCTTCCTTCCTGAATACACGTTGACCGTAGCCCAAAGAGAGACCGTTGCTCCATGCCGCTTCAAGGTCCAATCACGTCCGAGCTACCCATTTCTCTCAGGATCTACTCCCCGAAAACAGTCTTCGCTCCCACTTGTTGCAGCCCGACATGTCAAGTCGGACAGCGATTTCTCGACAAAAGATTTTGCATAGTAAGAGGGATACAATAGAGAGCAACTCCGACAATGATATTGTCATCATTGGCAAATGTTTACCTGAGCTAGGCTCAGGGAGGCACATGCCCGAACTCACCCACAATGAGCAATTCACTTGGTCTCCGATTGCTCTCTGAGGTTAATGGTTTGGGCGAGAGGTTGCCGTGCTTGTTGATCTGACGGGTTCACGCGAGATTTTGGCCTCAACCACGCCCGACTACTATTTAAACCTCTTTTGAGAACACTAAACACACATCAGCGTGGCCTTCACGACGGAAGAAACCCTTTTTCTTAAATACCTACCCCGTTCCGTTCTGATCGATATATATATATATATATTCAATTTATTGCTATTTTTATTTATTTCGAGATTCATGTAAGGTCTCACATTTATGCATTTAGTTAGGACAAATAAACAAATAATATAGGATTCATTCTAGTCAGTCGCTCATGAACGATTTGTGGCCGTTTCTTATTGGTAAGGAAGTAAAATGAGAAAGGCGTTGATCATGATATTTAGAATGCCACTTTTGCTGCGCAATTTTTTACAAATTTGTCCCTCAGAAACGTGGCCGTATGACTTTTAGGTTAACGCCGGTATCAATTAGGACGGAATAGCTGAATTTAGTGCAGTGGGTATGATACGTAAATATACTAATACCCCCTCCCCCCTCACCCATTTCACCCATTTCAAGTGTCTTCGATGGTTCGTTCAGTTTTGCCTTGACCAATGAGATACTGACTACTTCACCTTTATTTCTACCTACTTTCTTCGAGCTATGGTGCCTAATCCATCAGCCGTAAATGGTGATTTGAACTGTTTATTGTTAGTGAAATTAAATCGACGATGCAAATTCACAGACCAGAAATAACACCGGGATTTCCGAGAGTACCCCCTGGCGCTGAAATACTTTTTATGATTTCTCGCAATTTACTCAACTCCTTGCCTCTCTTCAGAACTGATTTTATCATATTCGTTATTTTTAACAGCCCCAAGGCTTCTTGCGCATTGAATATCGTGTTCTCTTCACGCACTGATACAACCTGTCACTTATACGAGATGTTGGGCATAAGCCATTACATCGGACAGGAACCAGGTTGCCCGACGCAATAGTTAGACATAGCCCCTACCTTGGACATGTTAGAAATGGGGAGTCCCGACACGACTAACCTGGAAAGTCGCATCTGCGGTGACCCGGTTAGTTCACTAGTTCCAAAGAAGAGGCATGTGCCGACCCACAACTTCAGAATGTTGGGTAGGAGTGGGAGAGACATCAATCACTGTCAGTCATTTTCTATATTTTGCACCGTTTTCTAACAACTTCACCCTCTAGAAATTAGTAAATAAATGCGTGTTTTCACTTCTCAGCAACTATAATTGACCATGGAAACTTTTCATTTTCAGGATCACCCTACAGAATGTTATTGCTCTTATTCACTTCGTTACTGGCTACAGTCACCGCAGAGGAATCAGCCGTGAATGAACTTCAGACCCGACATCGGCGTCAGTCATCTTATACAATTTACTACCTCTGCGGTAAACAGCCCAACCAGTACCTGTCATACTATCGTGAGTTACGTTCCAGAGCTTTCTAACAATGTTATCACTCATTGTCAAAATTTTGTAACTTGACGACTGCTGGGCTTCGAGAAATTGAAAATCCAAAAGAAACTATTTTAGCGTGTACACAGTGCAAGACATGTGGGACGCAATGTTCACGGCCGTGTCGAACAACTATGGCCTGTCAGGCAATCGACATCAATCTTGCATGTGTCAATGGTTGTTGTACGAGGGTAAGAAATTTTTCTTTTCAAAGGCACAGCTCAGGATAATAGTGAGATATCTGCCTCAAGTGAAAAAGGATGTTACTGTGCAGAAATCGGCTTCTATCAAAAAATAGAAACCTTTAAAGAAATAGTAAGAAAGGGGTTGTACGAGATTATGCGTCTTTAATCGTGTGGCTGTCTCCACATGAGCGTGCTATTCGTCAGCTTCCTAGCGCTCGATTCTGTATGGTGGTGTCTTAATAAGACCGTAGTCTTAATAAGACCGTCATAACACGGCCACATTTGGGCTTGTATGTCGGTGAAGCAGGCTCTACAGCAATTATAAAGCCCTGTCGAGGTCGGTCGCTTTTCGACCCGACCATGTACCGCGTTTATACTTGGAGGCCATAGGTTCATCCTAGGGAGAGTTCTTCCGGGAGAAACTTATGTTGTCCCTTGAATAAGTTTAGGTAAATAGTAGTTATTCCATTCCGCTTCCGCGAGTTGTAGAGGTTCACAGTTTTTTAGAGAATTACAACAACATAACAAACTGCCTTTACTACCTAGACCAGTACTCATTGAAGAGCAGATTTTGTATTCACTCAATAAAACCGTTCAATTTCAGAGGAATAACTTTCCACCAGTGACGACTACCACAACGACAAGGGCCCCACGTAAGTAACCATATGAAATAATCGAATAACATACCATTGAAAATTTGAGAAGTTGGAAATTTTCTGACTTATGCTATATTCACAAAGGGTATAGCACACCCGGTGCAAGCGCGAGAACTCAACTCTGTACGGTTTCTTCAGTATGCGCCATGCACCTTATTGAAGGTGTTATTTGTAGAGGGCTTCAAACAACTAATGGATATGCTCGATGGGTTTTATATAATAAACTACGTTCATTCACTCGTATCTGCTTTCGTCGTCTAGAGGAACCATTTAAACTTCTCTTCTATAAAGAGAGGAAAACGCTCATGCGGTTTTTTCCTGAAAGACTTTTGGAGGTTTGCAACCTTGTAAGGATAAGGCAACGCCCACATATAGATAGTGTCCGAGTTATACCGGCTCTTACAAAGGATACTATTACTATTGGAGTAGCTATATATTTTATCACAGCATCCATCTTTTGACCTTACTTCACATCTAGGCGCTATCAATTAAGATTTTTACGTACTCGTTATCAGTAATATAAGTGCTTTCAATTAATCAATGATTTGTTTATTTATTCCTTTAGTCTGCACCTTGCAGTCCTAAATATGAATAGTAGTCTAAGATTGATAGGAATCAAAATTTGTAAGGTTCATATTGTAATGTAGGAAAAATTGAATCGTCAATTAATAAAAAAATAAACAAAAATGGAAATCATTACATGAATAAGTAGATGAAGTGAGAACAGAATGATTCATACTCTTTTCCTTAGATTTACCAACCAAATAACTCGTGAAATTTTAATCGTTATGAAGATTGAAACTGAAACCAAAAATCCGTTCTGTATAATTTCGGTTTATTCAGAACCAAACCCACTGTGTGACGGACGTGAAGCGTCGGCTGGCTACTGTCGAGCAGGAGGGCTTTGTGCATCTGGCTTCCTATGTAGAAGTAACAATGTGTGTTGTCGATGTGCTTATGGAATCAGCATTGGTTAGTGACAGTTATCCCAGGAAACACATAGGACAACTGGAACAAAATCTCTTTGAATTATTGATTGATTTTCAGGTCCCTGTGTAAATGGGAAGTGCCCCGATGATTTCCAATGCAATATCAATAACGAATGTTGCCCATATCAAGTGGGAAAGTGAAGTATGGCAGTCAACCACCTACGAATTATGGAACAAATCTTCACAATGCCCTTCTCGATGCTTGTAAATAAATAAAAGGAAGAGAACGCTGATATGGCTGCAGAACTGACCCATTTTGTAAGCAACACTTCATTAGCAGCAGTGGCATCTACATACATATGTGCGTCAGCTTGTCCCACGTATATGAAGAGAAGGGAAAAGGGCTGTAGAATCGGTTTTGCGCAATCGATTTGCCGCACGCGGCTGCCTTGGACCACTCACTTCGCCGTTACTACGGCTCTAGTTTTCTTCATACAGCTCAATCGATATTCCATTATTATTTAAATCATGATTCTTCTGTTAGTTCCTCCGTTCAGGTATTTCTTATCCGCTGCTGCACTCTTCTACATTCCTTCGTACGCGGCGTCTCTCGCGCCGCGACTCGGCAATTTCGCTCCTACTGTACCACACCCAAAGGGAAGAATAAATCCCTCCTTATTTCTGAATGGACACCCAATGCGTGGCGCATCTATAAACGCAATTGAGTGTCCGTGAACCCTCCACTCAAAAGCTTTGCCGAAAAAAAAGTGACGAGAGCTACTCCTGACAAAAACCGATGGAAAATCTGGCATACACAATACAAGGTGGAGAATAGAGGACGGCAATGACCTCGATTCCATCTTGACATCAACGAATTCCTTTAGAATCTTTATTAGGCTACCTTAATATTTGTGAGTGAATCGAAAAATCGAAACATAACACAAACAATTATGACTATCACATCCGAATACGGCTCTGTTTCCATTCGCACGCCCACATATATATGTGAGAATTTTTTGAGATTAAAAAAACTGAAGAACAAACGAACTATGTTTGTGAGGAGACATTAGTCTAATAAAACGAAAACCGAAAAATTCGCGTAACGCGAAATACAAACATTAAACAATAGAACGAAGAAAAATAGGAGGCGCAAAGAAACAGAGAACCGAAATCAAACACACATAGAAATCTGAATATTTTCCATTTTTTTTTTGTTTGGTGATCGAGGAACGAGGACGGTGAAATCGACATTAGTCGTCCAATTTTCGTTCCATATCGTCCCTCATCTAAGAGAATTTGGCGCGTTTTTCTTTTGTTCCGAAAACTGATTGTGTATTGACGACACACTACGATATTACTACAAGCACTACGATATCGAACATTTGATGTGTTCAGACCTTCCGACGCTGCCAAGCTGATGACTGGGCCGGAAAGCCACGCCCACTTCAAACTACTCGACACTGGAATAGCTTGGGTGTGAGTCAGGAAGTGCCCCCACTGTCGCCCTCTCGAAAGCAGGTCACTGCGCACGATCACCTCACGCGATCGTACTGGAAACCGTCTGCCAGCTCCGGTATTTTGACAGTATTCGATGAAGCTATATTACTTCCTCTTCTCTGCGAAAAGTAGTCTTGGCTGGCAACAGCCAAAAAATGAAAGTAACGTCCTGACACGATCGCTGGATGGCGCCATGCGCGATGACCCAGTTTCAGAGCGGCGACCGCGATGGGGCAATGTGACCCACACCCGAATCGCGGTTGAATCAAGCCATGCTAGCAGAAATGCGCGTGCCACACAAAATATAATAATAAAAATGCAATAATATATAATATACGGTAATGGGACATAACTCCATACAAAAATTGTAAAGCAAATTACATGCAATACACACACACGAACATTAAGCATAACGTTGGTGGTGATGATAATGATGATGATGATGATCTGTTATGCTTGAGAGCTGATTTCACAACAGCCGTACAGTACACGAACTCCAGGTACAGGTAGAAAAAGAGCAACGTAACAACGTATACATGTGCAATTTGAGGCCACAAAAGAAAAAAGAGAAAAGAAAGAAAGAAAGAATAAAATGAAATCAAGTCTCACGCACTAGAAGTGAACGACATTGACAATTCACAACAAAAAGATAGAGAATGACAAAAAGAAAAGAAAATAGAAGAAAAAAAGTGAATCGCGTTCACTGTATGTTCTCAAAAGGCCGCGACCATAACCTCAACAACCTGAATGAGATAGGCTTCATTCAAATTCTCTCATTCAGAGTAAATAAAACCAGATTTAATCAGTGAACTCGATTATCGTACCCGAGGTGACCCATAAATCGCGCACCATTCGATACTCCATGGTACTCTAGGGGGTACAGCAAAGGGGTTGATCCCGACTATCTTCCCAGTTTTTCTTTCGAGCGCCCACTGACAGCGATTATGCTCGGCGGTGGATGCTCACGCCGACGAGACGCGGGACGCGCAACCCCACCTGATTCGCCTAGGAGCAGCGGGCTCATAATCCACAAGCTTGGAATCAGGGCAGTGAACCAATCCACTTCTCCCCCACGCCCGGAAGTGATGCGCGACTCATGCGACACTTCTAGGTCTCATTTTCAATTACATAACATATTGTACTGTATAAATGGCCAGTTCTAAATAGACTAGAAGCCAAATGGCGTCGTGGCGGATATGATGAAGCAGCTGTACGTGCAACACGAGGGGCATGCGTTCACTTATACGACGTAAATCTCGTCCACATGTACGCCACGCGATTAATGTGGACGAATTCAAATTTCTTGGAAGTGAGAAACGACCTGTTGTAGGCCGAGTTCGATTTTTGACTGCTCCCTGATTTCGAATTTTTTCACTTTTCCAGTAACCGTGAGTGGGAATTCGTGCTCCTTCTTGAACAGGATATAGCGTGGGATTTTGAAGTGGGCAATCTGAAAGAAATTTGTTTTTTTTTGAAGTATTCGACTGGAAAACCAGCTGAACCATTACCTTTCCTTTGCACCAATTCTTGATTTGCTCCTCGTTAATCTCACCCTCAGCAGACTCATGTAGTCGAATCCATGCACAAACGGATTCACCATATCTTTCGTCAGGAACGCCGACTATCTGAACAGCTATTCCATAGTTATCGATCGAACTAATCATAGGCACTTAAAATGCTTTTCTGTCATGCACCACTCCCTTTACACCTATTAAAGCCGAGGAAGGTGCGGCGATTCGGCTTTCAACTGAACCGGCGACTTTATTTCTTAGACCGGAAAACTCGTCCTGGTTGTTTGAAACTTCGGACGAGTTAAACACGATTTTTCAGAAAACTCACATGTGCGTCTTGGATTTTGGGATGTTTAAAGAGGAACTGTTCAACTTCCGTCGGATAGATGTTTTCACCACCTCGGACGATCATATCTTTTGAACGACCAACAATCGAGATCGTGCCGTTATCGTGCATCACAGCAATATCACTAAACCACATAAATATATATTTTAACTTATTACTAAGCAAAAAAATCAAGTTCAACAGCCTAAGCTCAGTAGTCAACCCATAGGTCATAGACCGCCATGTTCCCAGCGACATGCTTACGCTTCTACCAATTGGGTAGGGCCCCCATCTTGTACTGTAGTTATTGAACTGGTCAAATTAAAAGGACCTTCTAACAAATTGATTTTCCGGTTGATTAGAGTAGGAACAGGTTCGTGATTGCCTCGTTATAGGTAAAGTAAGTTGATTCCCGCGAGAAACAATATTGGAGCTGAGCCAACTGAACTTACTAACAAACAGCTAACAAAATTATCGCTTACCCCGTATGATACCATCGGTCTTCGGTGATTTCTTTTTTCGTCTGTTCTTCGCTATTCCAGTAGCATCGCATTACCGAATATCCACGTACAATTACTTCACCTTTTTCACCTCGTGGAAGGATTTTGCCATGTTTGTCGACTACGGCTGCCTGCAAAATGTTCCGGTTAAAATCAAACGAGTTCAGAAAATTCAGAAAAATGAAGCAATTAACGTGACAGAGGCTATGTGGACCGAGGCTCAAAACGTCTCCTAAAACACGTGGTAAAATCAGGTTCTGTCCCTAGATTCGCCTGGATGATAATGAACAAAGCTTGGTCACTAATTCCATCAGGTTTCCCTTCGATATGAGCCCAGTACCAATTAGACGAATTTTGGGTAGATTTAGGAATGATTTTTGTGGTCACACTCGGTGAGCTGGAGTGCCTTCTACCATCACCTTGAAGTAAGCGCATTCTTCAATTCAATTCTCTCGAGCCCAACTTTTCAGCAAAAACGCATACCTCGAGGTGATCCATGATGTGCCCCACACTCTTGATACGCTGCTCGGGTGGATCATCCCGGATTGACATGAACGACACAGGCGAAGTTTCGGTTGTACCGTAGCATACCTGTAAATTTCAGACTATATTCCTCGATGTGACGAAAAAAATAGGCGATATTATTTAAAAACTTGTTTGGTACAACTCTCTATCTCTCTGAAAAGCGTGACTGACTGCAATAAGTGGCTAACCTGCATGTCACGCATATGCATCTCATTTACCAGACGCCGACATAACGTAACTGGACAAGGAGCACCGGCAATGAAACCTGCAATTCAGCATTTTTTGTCAAAAGTTATACTATTTCTGCTCAGGAATTTTGAAATTCTCGTCGGTTTTCACAAAAACTAAGCTCATGACAGTCAATTTCATCGTACTTGAGGAAAGGGTTCCAATAGACTGCCTGAGGAGGAATAAGCACATAATAGCGACGAGAGTAGTATAGAATTAATGTTGATCTCAGTGGCACTTTAAAACAGGGGAACAGCATGAAAATTCCTGATGAATTAGAAAGCTATAATAAGGCCAGCACATATGGGCCCTATGGATGATGGCGAGTGATTTTAGGATTCGCTGATTTTGGATAAAAAAGAATGTGTTGCGCATTCATTGGGAAACAAAAGTTGTTAACAGTTCTAAGTAGAAACAAACACAAATTTTGTGTACGTTGACAAAATCAACAATACTAGTAATAGTGCTTACCGGATCGGATACTATCATAGTTGTATTTGTGGTAGTCAGGGTGATTTAACATATCAATAAACATTGTTGGCGTACCATAGAGGGCTGTACATCTGAAAATGAACGTAATGATCAATGCAACAGCACATTAAGACATCAAACTTGGACAAGCTGCAATGCCGATAAGGCTCACCCTTCCTCGTCAACGGCTTGAAGTGCTGCCAGCGCTTCAAAGGATGGGGCAGGGAAGACACATGTTTGAAGATGGGTGAGAGCTGCTAAAACGCCGAGCACACATCCAAAACAATGATAGAGTGGATTTGGAATACAGATGATCGTCTTCTGAAAAAATTTATATCGAGCTCAATTATGCTTATCTGTGACGGTTCTTACTCGGACTACTCTGGTTCAATGAAATGAGATAGGGCGCTTTCAGAGTGCGGCGTCGAGCGCCGACGCGTAGCGCTGGACGCCGCACTCTGAATGGTGCCAAAGGTTTCTGCGCATACTCATTTCCTGCAGTAACGCCCAGGTTATAACTTTATACTGATACTAAACTTGAATGAACAGGTGAGATTAGGACCAGAATTCGAACCCGTAATGAACTTTGTTCTTAAGCCGCCCCATGTCGTCATATATGGTTACTTGCAACCACTGTGATGGTCTTGTCACGGCTAGTAAGTATACCGTACCTGTTCATGATAGCCGGCACGAATTCCAATGAAATAGGCGTTGTTCAGAACATTGTGATGCGTCAATGTGGCGCCCTTTGGCTGACCTGTTGTCCCCTAAAGTTCAATCGATTATCGACAGCATTGCCATCTGACGTCATGTGATAGAAAAAGGTTTCACTTACACTGGTGTACTGAATATTGATCGGGTCGTCAGGTTGGATTTCACGTTCGATTTTTGCTAACTTTAATCGATCGTCAGCCGTTCCCATATTCATCACATCGTTATACCGCCATGCGCCGCTGAAATCAAGTCCACATGATGTTGTAAAATAAATATGGGAAACAATATAATACGGGAATTGATAATATGAAAGTAGACACCATGTATCACTCACGGGTAAGCTTTGTCTTCTGGGTCGAAGATAATCAGGTGACGGAATACAGGGAAGCAGGAGGAGGAGACATCACTTCGGCCGGGTGGCTTAAGTCCGATTTCCGGAATCACATCCTAAAGATCGAATTCAGTGGATTAGTGTTGATCTCTAGGATATTTGACTTACCCTGACACTTTGATAATAGTTAGACTTCTTAAAGCCAGGAGGAGTAATCAAAGCCTTAATGTCGACTTTACCAAGAGCAAATCGCAATTCTTCAGATTGGTAGGAGGGGTTGATGTTGACCTGGAAAATGTTATGTCAATAATTGTAAAAGTCAGTCTTATCGTATCAATTTTATATGGCTCACATGGCTATTTCACAGTTCATCTGATATATAGGAAGCTCAAGGGTCGGGTTCAATAGAATGTGAGGCTCCTATGATTTAAGCCTTTCCAGGAACTGTCCCTAATTTTTAGAACCACAAATTTCTACCTTCTTCTCTCCAGACTAGTTTTCTCTCTGTTTTTTTTTTCTGCAGAGAGATTAACTCAGATGAATCACGGAATAGGAATCTCACTCACCAGGACCATTCCACCGAGTGCGGTGGCGAACTGAGCAGTCACCCATTGGTAGGTGTTCGGTCCCCAGATACCAACACGATCGCCTTTCTCCACACCGAGGTGAATCAGGCCACATGCTAGACGCTCAGCCTGTAATTCAAATTTTTTAATTTTTTAAACTTTCAGGTTTATTTATTTATTTTTTAAGGTGTCGAGTAGTAATACAAAATACGGTTTGTAAACATATCAATCAATCGAATATGTGTCCACGGACAACTTGAAAAGACTTCAGTCACATGAATTCCCCAAAAAGTTCTCACATTGCTAACTCTAGACCCGATTGATTAGTTACAGTAATAAGCTGAACTAGATGGGGCGGTAATTTCTATCAAAAGAATAATACTAAAACTTTACTTACGTCTTTCAACAGCTGATAGTAAGTCCGTCGAATACCTTCTCGTTTGAAAATGACAAATTCTTTGTTTGGAACCTGAAAAGGAACTGCTATGTATCAACTTGCACCGTCTACCTTGATGGATAGCGGATTCAACCTTGGCTTTAAACTATCAGAAACTTCAAGAAAACGACCGTTTTCGTGGCATTGCCCCAATCACCAAATTCTAATTAGCCCAATAATTTGAATCGGTACTATCCTTTGCAGTAATTGAAAGCTCGTTTTGAAATCAATTAAATCTTTTCCGATTAAATGCACTTTACCGAAGATGACAAACTGAACGTTACCTGATCGACTGCACTTCGTAACCGTTCGCCAACAGTTTCAAAGAGCAAAGGAATGTGTGAACAACCGTGCACATAGCTCTTACGACTCGGCTGCGCCATCGCATGTGCGGACAACGCCGCCTCTTCCAGCGATATCGGCTCTTCTGAAAAAATTCGCATCAGGAGGACTGGCCTTTTAATTCCTTAATTCATGATTCAGAAAACCCAAGTGGTCTTGTCCAAAAGTCTCGGTATTTTCGGTTTTGACTTGTCTTGAAGAGGAAAAGAGCCTTTGCGATGCTTGATGTACGGCATTTATTTACAAGAGAATTTACAAGAGAAAAAAGAAAAGTGCTCAGTCAGGTGGTAGGAAGGGTTCTGAGAAAAGGCAGGAATCTACCGTACTTTGGACTTTCTCCTATTGATGAGTCATAGCAATTATAAGGTATTTCCTTATGCTTTAATATTCACCCCAATGGCTAAACTGCCCAAGGACCCCTCAGAAACGCTTTATACCTCAATTATGTTACACATGCATTTCTACTTTTATATATGCCAGTCACAAAAGTGGACTGGCTGCAGTAGCTAAATTTTGCAGCTATAGGAAGGTGTCAGCGTAAGAAAATATTGGAATTATGGATCATATGCTTTCTGAGTCGACTATTTAGTCCCTCTACTTAGGGTCCTCACATGGGACCAGCTCGAAAGGATAACAGCTTTCTTGAAAGATACGTGAACATACATCAGCCGGCCTCGGGCGTTATGGCATGAGAATACCCTTTTTCAGCCATTTTTCAAACTTTGCTTTTTTCAGGTCTCAAGCCATATCCAACTCAGACAAAAGTATTAGTTACTTGTTTCTGGTTTACTGTTACCAGTTGTTCTCAACTAACAGTAACCACTTCCCCACGCAAACTTGTACTCATTTTGCTCTGTTATGGAGAGCATAAACGACTTCATAAAAAGGAAAAGAAAACAAAAAAATTTTAACACCGCCATGACCCTATGGATAGGGACCAAAAAGGGGTTACTGGTTTTCTACGAAACGGGAGCTGAGCAGCACTCGCTGCTCCTACGATTTGAACCAAAAGCAAAAAAAAAAGCGACTACGAAATCAGAGAGAAACAGTAACTGCCTGTCACCATTAAGGAATGACGACTTTATGAAAATGGATAGTGCATTTGCATCTGTAAAGCATGAGTAGTACGTAATTTGAACTTCTTTCATTGATGACAGTAAGAAACTTTACATCACAAAGTACTTTCGTCACGAGAGCGATTTCACGTACCCAAAGTGTTCTTGTTTACGATTCAACTGTAATTGAACTAACTGTTGTGATAGTCATGAGATGGTATTCAATCATGGCTACTCTCTATGATCGATTCTCTGCAGTATGACCTATCTTACAGGATTTCTATTTCACGAAGCCATTTTTTCTTAATAGAAACACGAATTCTAATCAAATTAGCAGCTCTGAAAAAGCAAAACGTTCGGTGTGCGGCGCATTCAGAGAGATGTACTGAAAGAAAGGTACTATTCAGTATCTCTTATTCCAGACTTCGTTCAGTGCATATTACACGGAATCCGTGAAGTTGTGCGGAAAGTTCTGCTATGGTTTAACTTATTCCCTGGGTTTTCTGGAAGAATTCCTGAAGTAACTAGATAAGAACACCACTTTTTTGNTGACCATATCGACGTTTATTTTCAACCTTCCTGTTCCAGGCTGTAAAGTATTGCAACGACTTAGGCGCAGAACCGCTTGCAAGAGGCTCCAATGAGAAATGTTTGACATAAGTTCTAATGAATTTCAGCAGCGTAGTGGCTGGATTCCAAATCGTAGAGAGGTACACTTGCCAGTTATGGCATTATATGGTTAAATCAAGAGAAAGCCGAATGTATTATCGCAAGAGTGTGCGTACGCGTGGCTAGTGTTCATATATGGGATCCCCACGAAAGCTCCTGGAAAATCCCGGGAGAAATCCGAACTGTTGCGAAATTTTCGGCAGACACTTTCCGCACAATATAATAATTCTAGAAGATGAATCGAAGGAAAACCATTGACCAGGAATCGACGCAAAATTATTGGAAAAAGGAAAAAGGAAAAAGAGCACTTGTCAAATCAGATCCAGTTATTCCTGTCAAAAGAAGGGAATAAAAAGGATGCCATGCCAACAGGTGGATAGTGAACACACTCCTCGATTATATCTTTTTTCTATAGTATACTCTATTTTTATAGTATTTAAATAATATTATAAGATACAGTAGAGTAATAATTACAGTACTGTAGCACTTATCCACATCACAGTATACTATTACCTGCTGTTTTTCTAGAAACCTAGCAGCGTTCTGGATAGGAACTATGCTGGGAAAGCCCAGATATGAGTTTGATCCCCGTCTAAGGTGTTGCACCTAGCCCATAACTCAGTACCTTTGCACTAGTGGAACGAAATAAACCTTTTTTTCCAAACAGAAAAACAAAAATGCCAATCAAACAAACCGTTGATCATTTGTGTGGCTGAAGATAGCTGAAGAACTTAAGTGTACGTCGAGAACGAGTGTGAGCGCGAGCGAAGTACGGTAGGGTACAACTAGAGAGTAGAGTTCAACCGTGGAATTTTATATATGTAGTGCAGGGGTGTGTACTTCGATCGCCACTAGAGATGGTGTGATATTAGATGAGTGGGCAAACGAACAGCTAACAGCGTTTGATAACAGCTGTTACGGTAGGAAACGGGTGTCGTGCCTCAGGAGATGTTCCTTATTCAAAAACCTTATCAATAGAAAATAGAAAATTAAGGAGGACAAGACAACATAGGCATTAGAATGTGCAGTTCCCTGTTCCTTCTTCGGATAACATTGTAGAAGCCATTGAGACTTCACATTAACTCGATAATTCATTATTTAATTGGCAATTATTTGTTGCTACCACTAGTTTGACAACCAGCTTTTCAGCAATGAGCGATAGTTCATTGTTGGGAAACTGTTTAAAGGAAAGTAATACCCCGAAATCAGCCGTCATTTAAGGTGCGCAATAATTCCGCTCTCCTCCACATATGTATGATTCCGAAGCGATGTTCTACACTCCCAGTATTCTTTCTTCGACAGATGAAAAATAGTCAAGAACGTAAGCGATGGAAAACGATCCCCCCGTTACTCCGGTTAAATCCGAGGGTTCCCGCTTGAGTCACGATAGATAGAAAAGCATCTGTTATCACCTCACAGATGGAAACCTACCATTATTGTCAAAATTCTCAAATACCATCTTTCCAGACTTTTCGAGTCTTTGAAGGTGTTGAAATAGCATTTCGGTGTGATACAAGTCTTAGGAATCACCTATTGTTCCAAAAATCATTTGATATATTCCCCTTTATTGATCTGTCAGCAATCAAATCGATAAATCAACAAATATGTCGACTTTCTCAGAGCAACATGACATCTGAATCAGTCATCCACGGTCCCCAAAAATTTTCCTCAAAGAAGCTGTCTTTCTTTGCAGTTCACGAAAAATCCATTACAATTTGATCAATGGTCTATCGGGGAAGTGATGGGGATTCCCTATAACTTCCACCTTATCATACTATTAATTGCGCTCCGTCAGAGGTGCTTGTCAGCGAAAACGGTGGACGCCAGACGTTCTTACAGCGTTCTTCCATTTTCTGCTGTATCAACAACTAGGAAGTCTGATAAGAAAGTGATGGCGTGCGTGTGCTATCAACTCAACTTCCCACTTCTGGCGATGCTCATCCGATTTTTTCAGCCTGCATTTCAGCACAATCATCACTGATAAGGAAAAGGAACATTCACAACAACGTACATACTTTGGTATGCTTGAACCATCATGTCCATGGAGTAATGTACATGAATAGGGCGAGGTGGGCTAAACTTCATGTAGAATCTCTAATGTGTACGTAGTTCAGGGATCAAATTCGAGTTGAATAACCGGCTAGACCAACTCGACCTTATAACCCTTCCGGTTTGGTTAAGTGGCTCCAGATAGGACTGAGAAGGAGAAAGCCAGGCGTTACATCAGTTGGCCCCCGATTCCACCGAATGGATCAGATAAGGCCTAGAATAGAGTCGAGTGGGTCGGGCATGATCAGTCTTTGCAATTGTGGTCATTGTCTTGTGCGACCTCCTTTCCCTTCTTTTCTCTTTCCTAAATTGCGATTCCTGTTCTGTAACTTTGTCTTCTGTTAAAGCAGTAGTGTAAAACCTTCCAATTTCCATCGATAATTATTTCAAAAAGAAGAAGTCAAAGAAAACAAAAACAGCGATTTCGTTTGACTAGGCTGATATATGGGTAGGGCAGATAGCCTTTGTAAGGCATAGCGTCAACCACCTACACTTTTTGTGCTCCCGTTCGCCCCTGCACCGTTCCTATGTGGGACTGATCATGAGGATAGAACAAGGGTAATGGCGTAATTCAATAAATCACCTAACAACACACTATTCAATCATCAAAGCATTCATGACGGCCTTACACATCCCTCCTACCACTACCTCTTCCCCTTACATAGCACTATTAATGGCTTTGCATCTCATTCAGCGACAAATTTCATTGCCTACACGTGGGCAGTTTCCTTGAACATACCTAGTTACTTTACCAGTTACTTTGTATTTCTCTCGCTGATGATGAATCTGATTCTCATGAAACAACCAAAGGAAAGCTGTCCCATTCCGATGATAGAGCTTCAGTAAAGTAACGGCTGTGTGAGAACTTCACAGAACAGCCATAATGAGAAGCAAGTACCCAGCATTTGCAGAAGTAACCCATGCTTCGCTTCAGGTGATCATAGCTAATAATGTGATGTACTTATCGCTACAATCTGAGAAGTCAGTCTGAGGAACCGAACGGTAAACCGCAAAAAAGTAAGTACAGAAGATAGGTGAAATTTTTGATCACGTGAACTGGCAACGGGCAACCAATGTCCGACCAGTATTTGACGCAAGTTCCAGTGGTTTCGCTCGCAATGAAAAACCATTATGAGAAAAAAATCAGAAAAATTAGTTTACGATCACCTGAGATTCTAAACGAGAAAAAACGAAACAAGTTAACAGTTTCCTTCAGCAGAATAGAGAATCGATCTGAACAGATCGGACAAGGATGCCTCTCAGCGACGAGAAGTGAATGAATTGAAAACAAAATGAGTAAACCTGAGGAAAAAGTTGAAGAACCAGCA